TCGCATCACAGACATTCAGCTGTGCACGGCGCAGTTGAAGCCGGGTTTAGAGAAGCTGACAGATTGGCAGCTATTTTGAAAAAGAAATGAACGCTGTTCTAAATTCAAACTTTATAACGAATGCATAGGTGACACTTGTCTTTGTTTTTCCCAAAGTGAATGAGAGGGATGACAATATCATTTCATACTACACAGTACTACTACACCCGCAGTAGAACTTGCGAAGATAGTAAGAACAGATAGACCTGGCCGGGGAGTAAAGCAGATTTTTATCGCAAAAAAATGAACTTTAACCAATTGAAATAAGGTTTAATTTTACTTTACACTTATTTTCATATCAATAGCAAGCAAAATAGACGTGTACAGTAATATTAAACCTTATTTCAATTGCAATATAGCTCAATTTTGTAAGCAAAAAATTCTGCTCTACGCACCGGTCTGTGGAAACGGATCCTTACTCTGGTAACCTCCAGCCGCTATAAAGTTTGAACTCTGTTATATTTTATTGATATTGCATTTTTTACTATTATTGTATAATTAACCTATTTCCATATATCTTTATTTACTTATTAAATTACATTATATTATTATATTATCATATTAAATAAATTGTGTACATATTATATTTGTTAAAGGGGGTGGTTTAAATATATTTTGCTTTTTTGATGGAAACATATACGCGAATAATTATTTGTTTTCATTTATTTCTTCCTGTTCAGTTTATTATTGTAGTTGATGTTTCCCTTGGGTATTAACGTAAGTTATGATTCACCAATATATACGATGGAAATAATGGGAAATAAGTAAATAAAATCCAACAAACGCAAAAACCGCTTCGGCATGCCGTATTTGAATACATTTTTATTTGTAAAATAACGTAATATATATTAAAAAATTAAAATTTTCGTTACGCATTAACAAAATTACCACATATCTTTAAATCTGACTGGCTAAAATATTTTAAAAAATTCTCACAAACCAGAAATACACATAATAGAATATCATATGACCTTACGATACCAAAGCTTGTATGAAATGACTAGCCTATAAAGGTGTGGACTGACTAGATATGATCGAAAAAGTGCAAACTCTGGACTTTTTAAAAATATAGTTATATATCAGACTATTTTATAATATGCCGACAGCCTACATTCTTTAGCGTTAAAAAAATAAGTTAAACATTTTAAAAATTATATTTTACTTAAAAGAATTGCATAGAACATATTCAATAATAGGGTTTTAGTCGTTCAGCTCAACTAACTCCTTGAGCTAGATTTTATTTCACTCCCTTTTAACATAATTTGGGGATGGATTATGCGATATTATGTAATTCGCAGACATTGGCGCCTTTTCCAGCGTCCTGATTGGTCGCCCAACCGCATCGTAACGACATACTTAGCAGTTTTGAAGTAATAATCTAATAATAACGAAGTAACCGCCCGTACCGAACCTCCTGAGGGAGCCCTCAAGCTTAGTCTATACTAATATTATAAAGAGGAAAGATTTGTATTTTTGTATGTATTGAAATAACTCAAAAACTACTGTGTCGATTTTAAAAATTCTCTCACCATCACAAAGGTAATTTTTCCGTGAGTAACATAGGCTATATTTTATTATTACTAATGTTTAGGAACTATTAATTACCTGTAAACGAGGTTCAGGCTGCGCTCAGCCACCTTAAACCCGGTGAATCTGTAAATGCCTATTCAAGGCAATGACAAATCAGTCACAAAAATAAATTTACGAAAAATGTCCAATTAAAATAGTTTGCGAAGAAAAAAATGTTGTTCCAACGAACATTTTTATATTCCATGCACATTTGTAATGCCCTAATGTGTTAACAGCTTTAAACTTGTTTATAGTTTGACGTGGATCGTCATTCCGCAACTGGTGTAGTACACTACTGGTCGACTGTTTTCAATATAAAATTGTGAATTAACTAATTCTACGTTACCACTTATATCATGAGGTATGTTTTCATTTATGGTTGAACTTGAACTTGTATTAGTAATCAGATGTTATTGTAATTAGGAATTAGTTTATTGCATTCGAGAGTTAAAATCGCGCGATTTTTAAAGTAAATTTTGGTTCTTACAAGTCATAATTTAGATGTTTTTGAAGATATATTTATCTGTAATTATAATACATTTCATCTTTTTTTATTGTAATTAATTATTTATATTTTAATCTACACATTTGATTAAATTATCGCATAACTGTTTAGTTGCGCTTTGATTTCTGAGCTTATATGGAACACACTACTCGATGTATATTTGTGCAACTAAACAATTGAATTGGCTTCGAAACAATTGAAAATCGCAGAAAAGTGTGATAATTTTGTCAAATGTGTGCACCCGTTGTAACTCCGTAATATTTAAACAAAAGAATATTAACAAAAATCTATGCTTTGTATTTCCAGAAGGCTCATATTTGTGTTCGTAATTATACATTCTTGTATAATCTCAAAAGCTCAAGATCAGATACAATTTGTTAAAACCGATGAAGATAAAGCCACAGGTAAAATTATATACCTTACTATATTGTTATGTAAATTAGTTACTAGGTTTTGCATGCGACATTGTCACAACGCAGAGCCCAGGACAGAACGAGCTGGTGGCGTAACGTGGACGCCCTCTGCCCCACTTTGGGGATATAGGAAAATAAGAGAGACATTGTCCGCGAGGAATTAAATACAGCTTGTTTCTCAGTTTGCAGCTTTGTAATGCTTTATAAGATTTTTCATACAAAAATATGTTTTCATCGAAAATGTGCAAAAAAAGTAGTAAATGTGAGGATAAGGTTTCAGGAAATTAAATTAAGATAATTGAATATTGCCTCGAATGAGTATATATTAATTGTACCTAACTGCTCCTAGACTAGATTATAGTCTAATAACAGTGTTATGTCTACCAATATTATAAAGAGGAAATATTCTTATTTTTGTATGTATTGAAATAACTCAAAAACTACTGGACAGATTTCAAAAATTCTTTCACCAATAACTAGCTACGTTCTCACTGAATAACGTAGACTATGTTTTTTATGATTTTTTATTTCGTGCAAACGAAGACGTGAGAAACATATTTAATACTAGCTGTTGCTCGCGACTTCGCCCGCGTGATATTAAAAAAGAAAAACAATAAAACACATAGCCTATATTACTGACTTAGCTTTTTAATGGTGAAATAATTTTTGAAATCGACCCAGTAGTTTTGGAGTTATTTCAATACTTTTAGACAACTTATTTAATTGATACTGTCGCTTTAAACTCAGAGCAACACTTCTCGTCAGGACTTAGGATGCGCGCCAATCTATCCACACTTCTAGTGACATTGACAGCTGTCAGCTAGGGACGTGACGTTTATACCGATAATCTAGAGTTGCGGTAATTCTACAGCACGGTACTAATTTTGTTCTTAACAATACATACAAAAATACAAATCTTTCCTCTTTGTAACATTGGTATAGATTTTTTTAAATTCAGTAAGTTGACCTTGAAATATAATAATATTGGAATCTCTGCGAGACGATTGTAGTGATGCAGAAAATGTTTTCCTTGTTTTTTACTTCATTGAGTAATTACGCAAGTCGATAATGTTCGTATCTATCCTTGAGAATATCACGTTTACTGCAACTGCCTTCACCTTGATTTTACAGACTTCATATAATCTCCAGATCCGTTAACCGTCGATGACTCCCTCAACCTGTAGTGCGCCGCGTGAGATGGAGCAGTTTAAATGAGTGTCTTGCGGGCCTACTTCAGGGCGGCAGATGGGAAACCAACCTCACGGCGTACCGTTCTAAAATGCTTGCCTTGTTTCAGACCCTTAACCCAACTGTATATAGTTATTAATATGTTTATATTTTCTCGAAACAGTAACAAACGTAAAATGCGGTGCAAACAATCCGAGCGGTCTTGTATTCCGATTCGGCAACGGGCTGGCTGACTTTGGAGAATACCCATGGATGGTTGCAATTATTAAGTAAGCTTCAATTTTTTTTGCCAATGACAGGGAACTTAATTTCCGACCCACCTAAGTTGGTTATAATACTATAGTATCGTATTGTCTGTGATTTTACATAATTACTCATAGGTGTGCAAATAAGACCATAAAGTTATGCTATAATACCTTGTTGTCTTACGTGAAGTCAGCGTAAAAATAGTTGGTAAAGATCTAAGAAAGACTCATATCAAACAAATTGTTGTCTATGTCTATACTAGTATTATAAAGAGAAAAGATTTATATTATTATATGTATTGGAATAACTCAAAAACTACTGGGTCGATTTTAAAAATTCTTTCAGCGTTGGAAAGGTAATTTATTTATGAGTAACATAACGCGGGCGAAGTCGGGAGCAACAGCTAGTAATAAATGTACTATATAATAATTTGTTTATTTGTCAGGATCTCCGACACGTCATCGACACAGTGGTCCGACAAAGACTACTTGAGCGCCGGAACTCTCATACATCCCTCCGTCGTACTCACCAGTTCGTACGGCTATGAGAAAATTAAACCTAATGAGGTAATACATTTTATCATAAAACTTAGAAAAAACTTGACAATTAGACTATCGAACAATCTGTAGATTAAGAACCCGCACACGTTTGACTAAACTATCGTTCCACTGTTTAATCTTGCTTTGATTCCTATGAACTTATATGGAGGTACACCACTCGATTTTTAGTTGTGCAACTAAATCGTTGAAATGACTTTTTTATAATATAAGGTGGCAAACGATCAAGCGGCCACCTGAATCCACCGAAATGGAAAGCGACGGCTGCCCATAAACATCCGCAATTGCATGCGTTGCCTACCTTTAACTGACGGAGGAGACGCACATAAAAAGGACATTTCCTATGCGTCTCCTCCGTCGTCAAATCCACCTTTCCTTCCCATCCTCTCCTCTTAAGAAAAGGGTGGAAAGGGAAAGGGACAAAATTAGGCCAACTAAACAATTGAATTGGCTGCGAAACAATTGACAATCGCCAGCCGTTGTGCGATAGTTTGGTCAAAGGTGTGCGCCAGCTCTACTAACTAGTCTTTTAACAACCCATCTGAAATTTTTGTTAATCAATTAACGTTGTTTAAATTTCGTAAAATGTTTACAATTCTTCCAGCTTAAATGCCGAGCGGGCGAATGGAACAAAAAGGCGGAAGATGAGAACTACCTCCATCAAGAAAGGAACGTACGAAGAATTGTCACCCATAAGGATTATTTTAAAGGTACTTTTACATAATGCAATTGAATTACAAACATATTAACATGCACCTTATCTTACTTCTTACCAACCTATTAATATTATAAATGCGAAAGTTTAGATGGATGGATGTTTGTTAGAGTTTATAGCCTAAACTGCTAAACAGATGTCAATGAAATTTGTGCTAGCTGTAGAGCATAGTCTAGAACAACACATAGGCTACTCGCTTTTGTTTTTTTAATTCTACGCGGTCGGAGTCGCGAGCCAAAGCTAGTAATGTTATAAATGCTGAAACTTAGGTAGAGGGATTTCCCTTTTGAGATTATTACAGATCTAACTTTCGCCTGCGACTTCGTCGGCGTAGAATTAAAAAGCCTATGTTTTCTTCCAGACCGTCTACGTCTATGGTAAATTTCATCAAGATCCATTCTGCCGATTAAACTACAAACTCTAAGATCCATCCATTTAAACTCGAATTTATAATATTAGTAAGATAGAATTGATATATTTTTCCAGATTCGTTCTATAACGCAGTAACATTAATGTTTCTGGAAAAACCATTCGATTTGAATGAGGCGCCGCACGTGGGCGCAGCGTGCGCGGGCCAGGCGCTGCCGGAGCCGGGGACTCAGTGCTTCGGCACGGGGTGGGGCAACGGAGCCTTCACTAATGAAAGTGACATACTCAAGAAGGTAAGGAATAAACCCTTTGATTCATCTTGGAATTTCTTCGCTGATATGTGCAGGTTGCATCACGATGTTTTCCTTCACCGTAAGAACGTCGGGTAAATTATGTACATATGAAATTCGAAAATCACATTGGTACGGCGGGATTCAAACCCAGGACCTGTAGATTACAATTCAGAGCTTGAAACCCTGAGCCACCTACGCTCTTACTTCACGCTATATTTCTATTTAATTGGATAACATGTTATTCATAGATACCAGTTAATCTACTAAGTGTTGCTGACTGCGAAACAAAAATGCGAGAGACGAGATTAGGGGAGATATTCCGTTTGCACGAGAGTCTCACTTGTGCGAGCTCTGCCGACGATACTTGCAAGACTGAAGTGGGGGCGCCACTTGTCTGTCCAGTAAAGGTTAGTAACATAATCGTCATATAAACGTCTTCACTGAGGCTCAGAGTCCTCTATGAGTTAGGGATGACTAAGCTTCAACCACAGGACCTCTGGTTGAATTAATATATTTGCATTTCTTTGTAGTCAACACGATGGTTTCCTTCATCGTAAGAAGGTTAAAAAACTCTAATAGTATATTAAACGGGCTATCAGCAGTGGTATTTTGTGTGTGCTAAGTCGGAATGAAAGGCTGGATAGGCTAAGAAATATCCAATAATCATTCCTCAGTGCTAATTGTTTTTTTGTAAGAGGCGCAGTTTTTTTAATTTATTCTCTAAGTGGAACACCCCAAATTTTCGTGAGTGTACCTTCAAATAGTAGAAAATGGAAAATTTTTGTGTAATAATCTTGTTCTACAAAAATCGATTCCATTGGCAATGTATACAAACATGCAACTCTAAATGGGGTAGACATATTTAATAATGTAATTACATGCACAATTTGTGATATATTACCTTGATTATTAAATTGTTTTTTATTTTCCTTTTTAAATATTGATATGTAAGTTAAGAAGAGAAGAAGTTAAGAAGAAATTTTAACTTATTAAATTGTTTCCAGGGTGAAAGTACGAGATACGTGTTGTACGGACTAAGCGCGTACCGTATTCAGCAAGATGGCGCCCCTTGCGCTTACGTCAATGTTCCCGCCTTTTACAGCTGGATAGGCGAGCGCATGGCTGAAGAAGGCTTTAAATCTGACTCATATACTTACGTACCTTAAGTGTAATAAGCATGTTGAAATAAAAAAAAGAATACATGAATAGTTTTATTTATACCCATAATTTTAAAACATAACTAAACAGCTGTGGACTAAAAAAAAACAAAAGTGAGCAGCCTTTGTGTTCTTCCAGACTATCCTCTACATCTATACCAAATTTTATCGAAATCCAATCAGCCGTTTAGCCTACAAACTCTAACAAACATCTATCTATTCATCTAAACTTGTAGACCAGCGGATTGCCACGGCTTCTTGTTTACCTGACAAAAAGTAGATATCGGTATTATTCGGTATTTGCTGTGGTCATTACTCAGAATGGTTTCTCATCAATAATTTCCCATTGTCAATATTCCGATATTCCGATATTCCGAATATTATTAAAAATCTTGTTAAAACCCACTAAAAACCGTAAGTTTTTTTTAGGAAACAGTACATCTCCTAAACATCACAGCCCTCGCACACGTTAACCTAAGATCATCCACTGCTGAACATTAAAGGCTCAGTGCCAGTTTTAGTGCTGCCAACGTCCTGGGCGAGTTCTATACGTCGCTAACTTTTCAACCATACCGGAAGGGGCCAGGATTACGTAAGACTCTGTTATTCACAGACCTATGGTCCTTTGTATACCAAGAGCGGATCCAGGGGGGAGGTAATGGGGGGTAACCCCCCGAAGTTAGTCAAGATCTTGACAAAATATATTTACATATTTTATCAAGCTCTTGACTTGACCACAACTATTTGACCACCCCCCCCCCCCTATCGCTAAAGCCGGATCCGCCCTTGTTCTATACTACCGTACCGTACTACCATAACGACGATACTGAGGCTGGAGGCTTCTATAGATTCCAACGCTATCTCAGTGTTGCCCGGACGGACCGACGTAACCTTGACAAGGCCACGCACGCTCATCCCCTCCCAATCTTGTTTGTATCACTTAATATAGAACTCTTGTTGCTAATGGACGAGTGTTATTGATACGCTACAAAATAGTGAATATTTTTTTGTATTTACTAAGATTAAATCATGAGGTATGTATCACTTGTTTTGTTGTAGACAAATTTTTTAATTTCGACGAATTGGTTGACCATCTATACTATTACAATAAAGCGTAAACACACAATTCTTTGTTGCGTAAGATGTCAGCAATTACAGCATATTTTTGAATAATTCTTTTTTTAATAAAAAGCCCTACACTTACGTCACGCTTTAGGCTATATATTTTCACGCCATAAAACTTAGGGGGTAAACATTTTGGATAAAAACCCTAATGTGGGAAAGAGACCATAAGTTGCTGCAAACAAGATTGCTAAGGTTTGTGTCATGTCATTTTGACATTTGCTATTGATAATTTGACAACTGTAAACAATGAAATAAAATTTTCATAATTTCTTGCGGATGAAGTCGCACGGGAACAGCTAGTTTATAATAATTCTTTATCTTTCTCTTACTGCATTAATTTAACTCTGACCCCGTTTATGATAACTAGTATAACTATATTATTTTTAACAACACAATAATAAATTACGAAATTAGACTGTGTATCACAATAATTATGTTTATAGTGTAAAGATATAGATTACTAGCTTTCGCCCGCGACTGCATGTGAAATTAAAAAAAAGCAAAAGTAAGCAGCCTATGTATTCTTCCGCACTAATCTCTACATCTTTGCCAAATTTCATAGAGATCCGTTCAACCGTTTAGGCTACAACCTATAACAAACATCCATCCATCCAAACTTTCGCAGATATAATATTAGTAAGAAGTAAAATAGCATTTTTCATCCTACAATATTTCCTTTAACAAGATGTGTAATGTGTGTATTAAAGTAGGGAGTACATCGCTAGAAGCGGTTAAAGATGAATTAAGTTTTAACATGGTTAAAATAGGAGTGACAACTGAATGAAATTAAAAAAATATGAATTTATCATACGTCTTTAACATTTTATAGAAAACTAGCGTACGCGCGCGGCTCCGTCCGCGTGGAATTCATAAAAAACAAAAGTGAATAGCCTATGTGTTCTTCTAGACTATCTTCTACGTTTATGCTAAATTTCGTCGAGATTCGTTCAGCCGTTTAGGCTACAAACTGTAACAAACATCCATCCATCCATGTAAATTTTCGCATTTATAATATTAAGAAAGATATATTGAAAGTAACGTCTGAAAAAAGCCATAAGTCTCTAGAAACGCCAATATCTACAAATAGAATGTAATTAAATTAGCGAGATGAGTGTAAATGTATGTTCTTATTGTTTCAGATGGTCCGTAATATTAGTGTTGGTTTTAATCTCCTATGTTACAAATGTACAAGGTAAGCAATCTATGGTTACAAGCAGTTACAAGACATCATAAGAGCTGCTTTTGTGCATTTAATAATAATATAGACGTCACAGCCATGTTATGCTTTAATAAAATATATTAGACTTCTTTACCTCTTATCTTCCAATTTTCACAGAATAACCTTACCAATATGGCCGTCGTGTCGTCGAGCTAATGCTACACCCTTATTTTTGCCATCCGACTACTATCCGATTATTAACATAACAAGCAGAATTACGACATTTTAAAACCATGACATAAATATTTAAATATTTATGTCATGACACAAATATTTATGTCATCAATTTTTGGATCACAATTACAAAGCTTATACCGTTATTTCAAATTATGACAAATGGTATTGATTTATAGCACAGACTAAATAACTTTCAAGAATACAGAATACATCGAAATAGTTGAAAAGCTAACAATAGTTACATGAAATAAAAAGTGTAAATCTTGCTACTCTAATTGCAATTAAAAGATGCACGCTCTACATATCTCTGGAAACACAATTTTAATATTGTAATAAAAGAATTAAAAAAACAAGATATTTCACACAAAATAAAATGTATTCCTTTAAACGCATGAACCACATAACTAGTTAAAATTAAGACAAGAAGTAATCAGTAGTAATTTTAGCTTTCTGTTGTATTATTTGTGTAAAAATGTTAAATCAATAATTTCAAATGAAAAAGCATCTTTGTTAACAATTTATTGTTGAATATTGACCGATGTTAGAGCAATAGTTAAAAGTATTTCTACATTATCTATGGTAAATGTTATCAATTTGACATTTAGCTTGCAAACGGGTTTTCCCTGGTATTTTTCTTGTGTTATTTGTAACTAATATTTTGTCCGTTTTATTCATTATGGAGTATAACTCTGTATAGAGATTATATTTCTTACTTTCAGTGTTGGATAGCAACATAAAATGTGGCTTGTCCAACCTTGGTGGCTTTCAAGTTCGCATGGACAACGGTTTTGCAGACTTCGGGGAGTTTCCATGGATGATTGCTGTTATCAAGTAAAACTAATTATTATTTCTCAATATTACATCATAAGGTGGCAAATTAGCAAGCGGCAACCTAAATCGAACGAAACAACTGATGCGGTGGCTCTCTTTAATTGAAGGGACACAAATAGAGGACATTTCCCTATCCTATGTGTCCTCTCCTCCGTCAAATTCACTTCCCCTTTTCATCCTTTCCTTTAAGTGTTGCATGTCTTGTGTGGTCGTGGTAAATTTATTCTCGTGATGTGATAAGATTTCTCTTGTTGTCAGAAAATCCAATATGACGTCTACAGAATGGTCTAATAAGGATTACGTGTGCGCCGGTACTCTCATACACCCCTCAGTGATACTTACGAGCACCCGGGCTATCAGCAAATACGAGACGAATGAGGTTATGTGTTTTCTATCTATACTATTATAATAAAGCGTAAACACACACTTTTTTGTTGCCTAAGATGTCAGCAATTACACTAATTTTTTTAATAATTCTTTTTTAAAAAAAGCTCTACACTTACCTCACGCTTTAGGCTATATATTTTCACGCTATGAATCGTCGGGGATAAATAAATTGGAAAGAAACTTTCATATGGGAAAGGGACAAAAAATACAAGCTACCAACATTAAGGAATCAAGGTTATTATGGTAACGGGAATTTTGACATTTTCGATTGAGAATTTCATAAATATAAACAAAAAAAAGAAAACATTTTATAATTTCATGCGGATGAAGCCGCAAGGGAACAGCTAGTACTAATGTAAAGAGGAAAGATTTGTAATTTTGGATGTATTGAAATAACTCAAAAACTACTGGGCCGATTTCAAATCAACAATAAAACTTTACCAACCAATTGATATTTGACAACTTATTAAATGAAATGTATTTCTACAGATCAAATGCAGGGCAGGAGAATGGGACAAAACCTCAGAAAATGAAGAATATATGCACCAAGAACGAAACGTACGAAAAATAGTCAATCATCAACATTACTTCAGAGGTCAGTATACGCGTCATTATTTAGAGAAAATTTGTATGTATTGTAACTCAAAAACTGCTGGGCCATTTTCAAAAATTCTTTCACAATTAGAAAGCTAAATTATTACTGAGTAATGTAGGCTATATATTGCATAATTTTATAAACCATAGCAAAAGCTATACGTTACGTACGTACGTACGTTATCCGAGTAACACAAGCTATGTTTTGGACAATTTGTTTTTAGTTCCACGCGAACGTAGTCGAGAGCAACAGCTAATCACTTAAAAAAGAGCATACCGAAAGGAGACCCTTCATTGTATGAAACTAGATCAAAACTTATTTTATATTTTTAGATTCAGTATTAAATTCTGTGAGTTTAATATTCCTGGAAGAGCCATTTAATTTAATAATCGCGCCGCACGTGGGCGCAGCGTGCGTGGGTCAGACGCTGCCAGAGCCGGGGACTCAGTGCTTCGGCACGGGATGGGGAAAGTCCGCTAATACCAAGGAGACTAACGTACTTAAAAAGGTAAGATAGAAACTTCGTATAAAAACGGTTCTGCCTTATGATGCCCAAGTAACAGGACACACGTCAAATTAACCAAAGGATTGTTCCAAAACCTACGAAAAACTTGTTTTCAGTTATGTGTATAGCATCGTTTACCTTAAGAGCGAACTGTGGCACAATAGGGAATATGCATGTATTTTTTCTTTTTTTCGATTTTCCTTGTTATAAAATAACCACAAAAAAAATTGACGCAAAAACATTCAACCATTGAGCTAAAAGTAATAAAATAAAATTACGACCATTTTCGAGCGACTAAAACGCGACCGGAGTTGTCATGAGACGATTGACGTCAATTGTCTATTCCATTCATAACTTACGCTCAGATGTCACTTCGACGTAAAACACAACAAAGTTTCTCAAGATCAAAAAGTCAAAAATCGATTCATTTTTATTATACCTGGTTCAAATAAGTGGTAATTAATAATTCTATTCATTATTTTTTTATTTTAAAGTTGGTTTTGATATCGTGTTTACAGTAAAATACTTCAAGAGCGTATTTCTATATAAACTAACGTAAATGAACTGTGTATTGTCAACACAGCGACGCCATATTAGATAAGCCACTTGCTTCGACCACTAGTGTGCGTTTTAAACTTAGCAAGGGAATTTGAAAAAAGACACTTTTTAATGATTAAATTTTGCCACTAAATCACATTATATTTTAAAAAAATCTTTGCAACACTGTTTTTATAGTAATAAAGTATACTTAAAAAAAGTTTGGTACTATTTGGCGTTACATGCATATTGCCTATTGTTGTGCGATTGTCGATTGTTTCACAGCCAATTCAACTGTTTATTTGCACAGGTAAAAATAGTATGCGCTCTATATATGGTCATATAAAAGCGTAACTAAACAATTGTGCGATAATATAGTCAAAAGTGTGCGCGTTCTACTTTTATATTATCATATTATCACACTAGCTGTTCTTGCTACTTCATCCGCATGTTCATTTTATTGTTTAAATTCCATTAAAATTTTCCAATGACCAAATAAAGGCCCTCTCCATTGGTCGAGTAATTAAGTAACCATGGCAACCTTGCTTCTTTGCTGGTATTTTGTAGTATTCGTCTCTTTCTCGCGGAGCTATTTTTTCTTAGTCATCCTTAAATTTAATAGCTTGAAAATATATAGCCTAATGGGTGTCGTAATGGTTGATTTTACTAAAAAATATTTAAAAATGCACTATGTGCTGACTTCGTATATAACTAATCGTGTCTTTATGTCATCGGAAAATTTCAGATTCCGGTAAATCTTCTGAGTTCTGCTGACTGTCAAGAGAAATTGAGGAAGACACAATTAGGAAAATTCTTCAAGTTGCACAATAGTCTGACTTGCGGAAGCTCACCTGATGATAGCTGCAAGGGCGACCACGCGGCGCCACTTGTCTGTCCAGTAAAGGTAATTTATATTCAAGTTAAAATTTTACTAGTTTTATAAGACCTTGTGATGGATGGATGTTTGTTAGACTTTAGCCTAAACTGCAATACAAATCTCAATGTAATTTGACATTTACATATAGACGATAATCTGGAAGGAACTTAAGCTACTGACTTTTGTTTTTTTTTCTGAATTGCAGAAACTAGAAACAGATTATAAAAATGTATAAAAACACAATTTGCAAGATATTCAATTATGCAAGGTCAAAAGTACGAGATTTAGTACCTGTCCCACCACTGGCTGATAGAGGCTCAGATAGCTTCAATGACGTCACGGTCAAAAACTAACAAACTCCGATAGTTCCGACAATTTACAGTTTGGTGGGATAGGGGCTTCTTTTTTTTTCATTGTGACAGCTGTCAGTTTGTTTTAGGATGTGAGTACAAGATACGTGGTGTACGGTATGAGTGCCTACCGTATAAACGAAAGTGGCGCCCCCTGCGCTTATGTCAAAGTTCCCGCCTTTTACAACTGGATAGGAGAGAAGATGGCTGAAGAAGGATTTTATTCAAATTCGTATACTTACGTGTCTTAATTTCTACGCTATTTCTGTTGTAAATAAATAAAATCTTATCGAGTTATTATTGTTTCTATGCTTTTGGTTTAGAAATAAAACAATTGAATATTATATTAAAATTATTTAATTACATATAAAAATATGTCGATCGATTTATAAGCATTAAAAAAAACGTTTCACAAATTACAATACTAAATATTAAAAAAATACATCTAGAAAAGTTTTAATACCAAAATGTATGAATTATCCTTATACTTCTTAAAAACAAAATACATGTACAAATAATATTCTTGTCTATGGATAGAGCTAGACTATAGTGATTAAAACCTACACTTAAAACTTTTAAAAAGGTTAAGTCAAAGTAACTAAGGTTGGAAACATGTCAGGAATACACATTCCAGTCAAATGGAGTAGTAGCATGCCAGCAGCTGGCTTAGCTGGTGCATTGCGTATACTCATGGCAGTAAAACGTAAAACTCCTCCCAAGTCCTAACCCTAGTCGTAAAATCAAATATTCTAGTTACTTGCATGCTATGTACTGGCACATATGTATTTTTTTTTCTATTGAAATAACTCAAAAACTACTGGTCCGATTTGAAAATCTTTCACATATTAAACATAGGTTATATTAAATTTTACGTGGACGAAGTCGCGTGCATCAGCCAGTCAAGTAAAAACTACATCTGACTGAATAACTTCAGAGTTAATGATATTTCCTTGTTCATCAACATCGCACATAGTTATTTCTACTGAAGTGTCATCTGGTTGGTCGTTTTTATCATTTTTTAAGCGTATTTCGAAGTGCACGGGCGAAGTCGCGGTGGCTTCCGATATTCTTTGTACTTCAAAGTCGTAGGAATCAGTGAGAGATTTCTTTGGGTCGCTGTAACCGTCTACTATTTTCTGTGATAGTTCGAACTCTTCGAATCTAGTTTCTGTTAAACGGTACATACCGTCCTCGCTAAGTTGATATCTAAATTAGGAATTTAAAAAAAATGTTGAAATATCTCTTATTTCAATTGAATTCTAATACAAAATAACTATATAAGGGTGATAGAAAACGATGTACAGTTAGGAAAACTGGAGATGTCCCATCTTAAAAGGTACTATTGTTTGAACATTTTGAACGAAACGAGGAACCAACCAATATAATAATAAACATTTAATCAGCTGCAACAATATAAATACTTCAACAAAAAACACAAACGAGAAAACAAAATTATTTTTTAAAATCCAAACTAAGTAATGACAAGAAAAAAACTAAACATTTAGACTAACATATGACTTAATTTTAACTTCCTGTTGTATTTCTGCAAAATTAAATAAATAAATGTTTTTGAATAATACTTTTAATTAGAACACGTCAACCATTATGCTATATATTACGCTATAAAACTTAGGGGGGGGTAAATAAATTGGATAAAAACCCTAATGTGTGAAAGGGACCAACTGCAAACATTAAGGAAGCAATATTATTGTTACGGTAATTTAGACATTTGCAATTGAGAACATGACAAATGTAAACAATTTGATGCGGACGAAGCCGCACGGAAACAGCTAGTTAAATTAAAACTCACCTAAAACGACTGTAGCCGCAGGGCCACTGCGCACCGTGCACCTTCACCAGGTGCGTGGTGAGCCGCGACCCGCGAGAGAATATCTTCTTCTCCTTCCCCGCGCACATGTGACACACATACTTCCTCTTCTCTTTAGGCTTCCTCACTTCATCGGAATCTTCATCGGATATCTCACTTGTATCTTTTAGTTTCCTCTTTTTACGTGTATGAGTCGGTATGTGTTTACGTAAATCGCGTTTTGTGATCGCCCTGAAAGAAGAGTTTGGAACTTTTGTACGATTTATGTGCAATGAGCACAACC